GAATCGAATTTTCTTATCAGCACACATACGTCACCCTTCGAAAAGCGTCATCGGATTTCCGGTCCGGGTGTCCAGTGAGCGCGAAAAGAAACGAGAGAAACAACACCGAAAAACGTCTCGTTCGAAGCTATCCGGACTTTAATTTACGCTCTGGCGCTCGATCCGCGCCCAAAAGCTCCAGCTTAGGTCACTGTATCTTTCTTTTTTCTTATTTTTATTTTCTTTTTTTATTTTATTTTATTTAAAAAGAGGCGGCGAATTCCGCCCGAGTATGTGTGTGTGTGTGTGTGTGTGAGGATTACGTATGTGTATGTATGTATCTGTATATGCGTGTTAATATTTAAATCAAATGGATGTGCGCGAATATTATGTTTGTCCCGCAACGATCGAGCGATCGAGGATCGTGAAGTTTGCGATAGAGCACGAGGATTAACTCGTTAGCTTGATTTCGTATTGTACGTAATTGTTCCTACTTTAGTTAATTTCTCTATAACTCTGTGATGTGTATTTAAATGAGTGTATTACCGCAAAATTACGGTACATTGCTGTCGTATTTTTTTTCCTTTTTTTTTTTTTTTTTTTTTTTTTTTTTTTTTTTTTTTTTTTTTTTTTTTTACGTTCTATTTTTCTCAAAGCCATCTAGAGAGAAAAATTTTACGAAGCACTTTTCTTTATATCTCGGAAATTCATTGGATACAGAACTGTTGCGTAGGCAATAATTTTCCCTTTACCTATTGCTTTTTTCCGATATGGTTTTGTAAAAAACAGTGAGCCAATGAGTCGAGTATGTTGAGCTTATTACAAACCGGGCATTTGAAGCGATACTCATGAATCTGTTATGTATCGGTATGAGTCGAAACGTTCGCATAATAATTTAACAATTAATTTATTATTGTATTATATATAATATATACATGTTGTTATTATTTAATCAATCTGAAAGGCGTGAGTTATGTACAAAGTAGACCGAGAGTGCGCTAACAACCGAAATATTTTGTCATATTTTAATATTATACTTCGTCTTTTTTTTTCTCGTATCGAATAAACGGAGCGATACGTAAACGGGTCCAGCGGAAAACAGCGCGTGTTTTATCCCGTACCGTTTTTAGTCCCTTGACTATGCGATCTTCGATCGAGTGATTAAGCGATCGGCTGAAGAGCGCGTCCGTTAATTTTTATATTTTTGTGCGTGTCACACCATCATTAAGTATTATTTATTAGTGAAAGTGGAGGGCCGTAATCGCCCGCTCGCGGAGAAACCTTCTGGTCTGTTCGTTCGTCATTTCGTCTTGTTTTTAATTAGCTCGCTTAATACAGCAAAGGCGCGCCGCCGCATCACAGACGCACCTGCGACCCCGCAACACCTGCGACGGTCGACAATTTCGGCGAGACCAACATTCGCTCGGGATATTTTCTGAAATTTCGCCATTAACCCGCGACCGTATTATTAGCACTAAACTTACATTAATTTTGCGAATGCATACAAAATATTGAATATTGTACGAATCCTCGTAATTAATTCCGTGCGATATAAAGCAATTATTACAAACGGTAAATACAGTTCGAACGATTAATACCCGTTCAATTTTGCGTTTACGAATAAGTTACCATTGGTTTATGAACTTTCTGTTTGCGATGTGTAATAAATGAAAAATACGATCGCTGTAATGGATCGTAAAGTTACCCAAAACGCGAATGTGTAAATTTAAATTAGAAAATTAATTAAAGTGATTGTTAAAAAAAGCTTGCGTTTCAATGGCGAATATGATTAAATGTAAAATTGCGACTAAGTTTATGTAAATGTGTTCGAGCAAATAATGTGGTCGTGCGATTCTTATTCTGCAACGAAACTTTGAGATGGCCGATCATGATAACGCTAAAGTGGCGCAAAATGGATAATGTGAAAACACAATTGACTTAGTAATAAAATAGTAACATTAATTTATATACGAACAGTCACAAATGTACACAAGCCAAAGAGGTGGAACTAGTAAAAGAGAGACAGAGAGACAAACGGAAAAAGAGTATATGTGTGTATGCGAGATAAAAAGAAATTTCAGACATTTAATATTAATTGTCTTCATTCGTCATTATTCATCAAAGCATTGTCATTTTTCATCATTTAATGAATTAATTATTATTCTTATAATTATTGTCATCATTT